CTGAGTGAGGGAGCCAGATGCTGCGACGCTTCGCCGGGGGTAGCCGGATTTGTTTCCCTTCATAATCTCAATTTAAACTGTTGTCTCCGCTGTTGTCTCCGCTCTGTCTGAGTCTGGGAGCCGGATACTGGGACGCTTCGCCGGGGACGAGCCGGATTTGTCTCCCTTCATAAATTCAATTTAACTTGTTATCTCCGCTCTGTCTGAGTCTGGGAGCCGGATGCTGCGACGCGTTTCGCCGGGGACTAGCCGGATTTGTCTCCCTTCATAAACTCAATATAAATTGTTATCTCCGATATTATCTCCGCTCTGTCTGAATGAGGGAGCCAGGTGCTGCGACGCGCCTCGCCGGGGATTAGTCGTCATAATCTCAATTTAGTCTATTATCTCTGCTCTGTTTGAGTCTGGGAGCCGGATATTGTGACGCGCCTCGCCGGGGACTAGCCGGATTTGTCTCCCGTCATAATCTCAATTTAACCTGTTGTCTCCGATGTTATCTCCGCTCTATCTGAATGAGGGAGCCGGATGCTGGGACACGCCTCGCCGGGGTCAGCCGGATTTATTTCCCTTCATAATGTAATTTTATATTGTTCTTCGTTATCTGCTCTTGTCTCTATGTCTTTTTTGTCTATTGTTTGATCCTGGGTCGGAACTATGTGATGAAGTTCGGAAGGTCTCTCAGGATTGATTTGTCTTTATCTCGTTTCGTATTTCTTGTATGGTGTCTGTATCTGCGAGATAGAGGCGGAGACGTGAGGGTAATGTTTCATTTCTCTGTGGCGCCTATTTGCTTGGCGGGACGGTGAAACCCCACGAATTTGTTGGCGTATCGTATGTCTTTTAAAAACTAAAATTTGACTCCAGGTCCTAAACCCCTAACCCTGAACCTCAAATCCTAAACTGTTATCTCCATCCTATACAAAGTATTGTCGTTTCGAATTTGCTGTCTTATTCGAAATTCACGTAATATCTTGATTAGTTGATTGCTGTTTGAGTCTTCGCTAATGTAATTTCCAAAAAATATGGGCCAGAAAACTTCATTAATAGCTTATAATAATCTGTTTCTATCAAGAATAAGCTAGAAAGAATCATCAAACCGCGGCAATATCAATTATTATCATCAAAAATCGACCAGAAAGAACCTTCAAAACTCTTCAATATAATTTATCACGGCCAAAAATAGACGAAAATCAATCATCGATAATATAACTACAATTTTCAAATATACTTACAAAAACACCTCAATCTAAAAATATAGAAAATTACCGGCAATACAAATTATCACGACCAAAAATAAAATACTATAAAAATCGAGAATATAATTTATTAGACCGAAGAATAATTCAAAAAGACTTATTCAAATTTAAGAATATAAAAATAAAGCCAAAAAAACCCATCAAAATCCTATTAATATAATAACAAAATATATCATATCATCAGATCATATAAGCTCTCTCCAATCGATTCTTAATAATAAAAAAAAAGAATCATGCTATGTTATAGTATTTATTTCTAATTTTTATATTTATATTATTCAAAAAATATACAATTTTTTTTATAGAAAATACGATATCATTCTATCATGACCATACCGATTATGACAAAGAATCTTTAATAATATATTCTATTCGGATATTAAGTAGAATCTTTAATAATATATTCTATTATTAAAAAAATCCGCTCTTCAAAAAATTCAATTAAATGAATAAGAAGAAGAACAAATATTTTGTATATATTCTAGAACTTGTGTTCTATCAATCAAAGTGAGAAAGAAAAAATGAAAAGGAGAAGTAGCACGGTCTTGAGTATGCTCGCCCTTGAGCCAAAATATCTCTGGCAAAGAAATCAGTTCTCATAATTTTACGAAAATACCGAATGCCTTTATCGAATCCCGCTGTCTCTTTCTACAGAAACACGTTCAAATTGAGCCGTAGTCGAATACTACCTTGTGCTATCAAACTCTGATCATGCAAATCATGAACTCAGATAAGATTCAAAACCATGCACGTCCGGACATGTCTGGACCTGCGCTTCAGATTGGGGCCGATTGCATTCGGAGCCTTTTTCTCCTGAGCCCGAGCCTTCACCGCCTCCAAAGACGCCCGGAAGCTCAGAAGGCCTCGGAGGAGAGCAAAAAGCGCTAAACCCTAAAAGCGGCTTAGGGGCTTTTTAAGGTACCATAAGGATTCCAGAAGGGTCCTTGAAGGTTTTCCGTATGGGCTTGGGGTTGTTTAGACAGGCCAAGGTGCCTCTGGCGGCTGACTTTGGCCGCGCCTGACGCAGCAACAGCGAAGTCTTATCAGAGGAGTTTCGGAGACCCTCCTTGGCCTGTTGGGCGAGTAGAAGGCTCCTGAAATACAAGAAGAACTCTCTCCAAAAAGTGCAGAGGCGAAGTGAAGGCGCGGCGGCCTTGGGATGCTAGTGCTAGTGCTAGTGCTGCCAGGGCCAGAGCCTGGCGACGGGCGGTCGACACGAGCCGCAGTCTTCTTTCTGCTTCTCAAAACCCCCCCCTCCGCAAGAAAGCGCCTGCCGCGCTGCTTCGCGCGGTGGGGGGCCCTGCTGAGCTGCCTTCCCCACAAGGCACTGGCAGCACTATAGCAGATTCCAGAGAGATTCAACATACGTTGATGTTTTTGGGACCGGGGCGTGGAGTTCGTGAGGTGATGGCTGACATTGGCCGCTGCACCTCGTGGAGCAGGCAGAGCTCCGCTCTCCGGATTTTTTGTTTTAAAGAGACTGCTGTGCTCTGTCAGTCTCCGGCCTCGCTGTGATCATGTGGTGCACGTGGAGTTGTTGTTGTGGTTGCTGTCGTTGCTGTGGTGCCTGGAGTGCATGACAAGTGCACGCACTGAGAGCCCAAGAGCGAGACACAGAAGCTCCAAGCACCAGCTTCAAGCACGCGGCGAGGGGTGCGGCTGGCCACGGCAGCAGACGATGGCCGCCGACGCACCTGGCAGTGTCACAGCTCTTCAGTCCGGATCCTACCCAAGGCGCAGACCTGAATTCCGACAAGACTAGTAGCAAGTTTGCAGAGGTAACCACCGAAAAGGATCAGGGCATCACTGAAGCACGGATCATCGGACGAAGAATTTCATGGGGACGGAAAGGCTTGGCATGTCTAAAGGCCCGGGCTTCTTCTGCTGAAGGCCGAGCGGTCCGAGGTGTCAAGGGCCCTGCCCGCTCGAGTGATTGTACAGAAACCAAGCAACTGCAGCAGAAGACGAGCGAACAATCAATATATATATATATATCTTTTTCTCTAATATTATTACTATCATTATTATTATCATTATTATTATTCTGATAATTATTTTATTATTATCATTATTATTATTGTTATTGTAGGAAGCGTCTCCCTCTTTCTCTCTGCTCTCTTTGCCCCTGAGTTAGGCTGCGGCTCAGGGGAGTCGTCTTCGTCGGCCGCGACGCCTCGGGCTGCTCTCTCTGTCATCAAAGCATTCATTATTTCAACACAACGTCTAAAATGACTGCGCCAAACATACGCGGACCACTCGTATGAGGTTCCTGCATCACCGATGGCCCGTGCACTCCGAGGAGTTGTCGGCCCTGGTCACAGAATTGCAATTCACTTTCCTATGATTGAGCTATTCAGTGAACAGTGTTTGTTTCGGTTTGGGGTTCTACCTGGATTCTACCTTCTAAATTCTACCCATGCCGTCATGTGTTCTCGATGTGCAGAGCATCACGGACTACAATACATCAAACACTCGTACAGCCAGCATTGCGTGATTTCCTGCAAAGGTACACACACGGCATGCTCGCAGAAACAAGTGTTTATGCACTAATCTTTGTCAAAGGCACATATGTGTGTATATATATATATTATATAGATATAGATACATACGTACATACATACATACATTCACACACACATACACACACACACAAACACACACGTGCACACGCCCAGACATACAATGCGCAACTGCATGACAGTCTACGGATACTCATGCTTATTGCGTACGTGCACACATGCATGCATCTGCACATGCACGTGCATGCACAGATGGCACAGATGCATGTGGACACACATAGTTACATACGGCCGACATGCAGATGTGCATACATAAAACACATACACACATGCACGTAGACACAGACACAAATATACATACAAGTACACGTGCACTTACCCATCCATGTAACTATACATATGCAAATACATACACATATACATACTTGTGCCTACACACATGGACAAAGACGCACACATAAGGTATTCATCTGATGCATATGTTCGGAAATAGGCATATACATAGATGACATTTCTGCATGGCACAAGCTGTCTGCATACAGTGGGCAGATACGCTTTAGTAACGTCACTTGCAATAGCAGAAACCCCCGGTAATTGAGACTGACAACCTTTGAAATTAGAGCGAACACGGGTATGCATGCGTGTGTGAATGTATCCATCTGCATATATGTACATACAATCAATATATATATATATGTACACACACACACACATACATACATATACACACACACACACAGAAAATAACACACTGCAGGCCCCAGTTTTTGGTGGATTGCTTGAAAACCATTACAAAAACACATGCTTGACTCGAAAAACACGCGCCTGCATTCCGTTATATACATACATACATACATACACAATATTTATAGGCATATGTGCATGCGTTTACACATGCCAACACATGTACAACGAGAGGGAGACAGAGTGAGAGAGAGAGAAAGGCAGCAGCATGCATACAGCAGTAACCTTTCGTAGCCTGGTGCAAGGATGCTTGGGCCGCAGCGAGCTGACAGGGATGCGGTGGTGGCTGCTGAAGATGGCCTGGCTGATGGTGGCCTGGCCTGCACTCAAAATCAAGAACTCACCGATGTGATACATAGCACAGCGTTTGCTAGCGCCAAGTAATATGTCAGTGCTGTATGCTGCTACCAACAACGCTGCAGAACAAATGCGGGGTAATATGCTGCACCATATACGGGTTGTAGAGGTAGGTACAGACATGTGGACACTAACTGTTTGATCTTCTGATGCGGATCGAGCATATGTATGTCCTTGAATGCGTCGACACTCATGCACGAACAAGTAGATCACTACAGCTGTAGTAGACCCACGAAAAGACACAGAGACACACAGCCAGACGTGACAAACACCGATGCTGGCATGAGTCCATTTTAATAATACGGGCATGTCCGTTCAAGCAGAGGCTTTTGCATGCGCACAGAAGCAGACTTGCATGGCCGTGTCAAACAAGAAGTGCCGGGAGCTGCACATCGCCAGCGAGAGCATGGTGAGCGGCAGCGGGTGTGGTTGGCCCTTGGTCGCCCCAACTGTATCACCACAGATTCGCCCCAACTGCATCGCTACAGATGCTCGTCCGTGCTGCAAAAGGGCAGCCGGCCACTATAAAGCCCTGAGACCCTAAGCCGTCTCTGAATCCCTTCCGACACGTCGGAAAGGTAAACGGCAGTACTTCTTATATATTACTTCAATACTCACTTTACTCACAGTCAGCGGTGATCTGGAGATTCTGTTCAGATCTCAGCCCTCCGCGAGCCGGTTTCAACGGCAAGGGTCTGTACCGCACCTTGGCAGGCTATCGAAATTTCGACCCACCCCTTCCGCAGAGGCATTCTGCCACCACCCAGCGCCGGGCAAAGATCGCATCGGAAGACGAATCGGAAGACCTGCACATGGGCTGCTCGGAAATTCTGCCCCTCCCGAAACCTTCACATCGAATCACTGTCTTTCGACTACATTCCGTCAGTAGTCTGCCAGCAGTGCAATGCACCTCCCCTTTTGAGATTAAAGCCATCGACATCAACGAATCTGAGACTCCGTAAACCCCCGCGAACCCACGTTGCCCAGGCACCGGCTGGGCGAGCGTGGCGGCGGCGGCGGCGGAGGCACCGAGTGCCGTAGTTCCGTGCGGTGGCAAACCCAGTCGTGACCGCACCTTTCGGGGCCCATCGAGTTTCAGGCGACTTTGGGTTGAGAACAGAATGACATAATGCTCCGGCTTTACCTTTAATGCTGGTCCTCCGTGCCATCAAGGGTCATGCCACATTGTGCTACAAGCTCACGATCCAGCATTGGATTGCGTCACATCATGGCGTGCTGCTCAATTAAACAAATCCTGATGCGGTGGACGTCACACTTTTGTGTCGCGCCGTGCTTGCGCTACGCCGTCTTTTTGCACAGCATTTAGTGTTTTCTTTCATGTTGTGTCAGGGAAGACATGACCGTGTTGCTTGCAACCTACTGTTGCAACATGTTCTGAAAGCCGATGAAAAATACCGCCCCCCAAGCCTTTCGCTCTCCAAGGCACACGCGGCAGGTGCCGGGGTCGTGGAAAGTTTGGCAGGGGCAGCCGTCCACTTTGCAGGCGAAGAAGCCCGTGGGGCTGTGCTCCAGATTGCTGTGTCCACCTCTGGCCGACGAGATTTTGGAGTGCAGCCGCGAAATTGCCCGAGCAGAACCTGAATCGCCAAAGACTCTCTGCAGCTGGGGGGCAGTTGCACCGCGAATGGGGCTGCACGTATGTAAACTTGGCACAGGGGCAGCGCTGACCTTAGGATGAGAAAGCAGCTCATCGTCTCCCACCTCACGGATTAGTCTCCCTCTCCGTGACCCAGAACCCATCTCTCCCCCTGCTAGCAGCTTTTGCTATGATGGTTGCGGCAGTAGGGGCACTTCTCCCAACCATCTGCCGAAGGAGTCCCAGGATGCCCATGATCAGAAAGTGGATGTCCACAGAAGCAGACCTTAGCCCGCCACGCCCATAGGCCCTACCGCGGTCCCAAATTTCGTCTCTTCGGCCGAGGTGCTGTTTGCGGATTCGGTTGGATGCACGGCTGCAAGCGATCTTTCTTGGCACCTCGGGCCATAAGGAAAATCCGCTTAAGCCCGATTTCGGACCAATCATCATGTAAGCAGTCAGTAAGAAACATGACGGTGCCTTGCTGGGCACATCACTGGTCCAAACTGCATTAAGTGATTAAGATGCCCTCATGCGGGAAAAAAGGAACTACCTACTACTACATACACTGCAGCCGTGGGCATCAGAAGGCACCACACCCCGACTACACTCAAGAGAGAAAAACGGAGAGAGACAGTCGAAGGGAGGGAGGGAGGCCTCATAGACCTGTCTCAAGCCAAGGCTTCCCGAGACGCGCACCCGGCGAGTAGCCGCCAAGGCAGTCGACTTCGCAAACATGGCAGGCCCAAACCACGACGCGCGGTGGCTGCTGCGGCTTCACCGGCACCACTCCTTTGGTTTGGGGGCTCTGAGCTCAGGCAGGATCTGGCTTTTTTAGTGAGCTGCAGAACCGACGTACAGATATGCACTAATTACAGGCTTTGGATGCCCCAAACACCAAGCGAAGATTACCAGCCCGCAAGCCTGCTCTCTCTCCAAGTGTTTGCTATACCGGCCTGTAGAAATGGGGTCCATATTTTGGGGTGGAGGTGGTCGCTTGTTCTGTGTGCCGGCATACGCTACAGTACAACAGTGCAAGACACTGTAAACTGCTCGAACTGCTTGCACCTTCAGCGGTCTCCCAATTCAAGGTTGTCGTAGATTACGGCTACATCTACAGTCACCCCCCGGATCGCAAAGGAATCCAAAAATTCAATTCACCGAAAGGCGAGTCTTCTCATCAGTGAGATCATCCAAGAGGCGTTCGACGCGGACCGGACCCGGCTTGCACCACCGCGCTCTTCGGCGCTGGGCGGCAGAGAGAAGACCGCCGAGGGAGAGGGGAGCCTCGAAGGGAGAGGGTCGAAAGGTGCCTAGAGGGACTCTTCTTGCCTTCGGGCTTTCGAATTCGGATCGAATCAACGCAGGGTGGGGGGGGGGGGGGGGGTTGAGGTCCAAGAGTTCAGCAGGATACGTCGCCGTGTCCGAGGATGGAGTTCTGTTCCCTGGCGACCCGGCCTTTCCCAGCTTCTCCAACAAGTAGTCTTTCGCAGAAGCAACGTCCCTGAACCGTTCTTCCGCCTGGCGCGGATTTGGGCAGAGCTTCTTAGCTTCTTGGGGGTTCGGGTTCCCGCGCCGCAAGAATCTGCACATGGGACGAAAGGAAAGTCAGCTGTCACTGCATGGCCGAAGCAACGCCATCGCACGGCCGACAACAGCCTCTTCGTTCTGCTCCGGGTTCTTGTCCTTACTCACCGTCCGAGTCTTCTACTTCCGCCCTGAAAAATGCTTGACGTATCTTGTCGTGTAGTTCCCAAAGAAGTTGAGACGAAAACGGCTGTGCACGATATGCTGCAAAGCAAAACCTCTTCTTGACCACCCGAGCGTCTGGGTGGCACAGGAGGGCAAGGCGTCGGTAAGCCCGTCGTACGTCGGCCGCACTGCATCCTGTCTTGAAGCAAACCCGCCCCAACAGCAGATGGCCTTTCCTCCAGACCTAGGTCAGAATGCTAGGCCACCGTAGGTACCCTGAACCTCCATTACAGTAAGGCTTCCCGAACGCCAACAAAGCGCAGCCTTCGGAGAGTCCCAACACGACGTATGCGCCAAACTCATCCATGGGCTTGCAAGCCATGGCGCTGTTTTCCAGGGCTTTGCCGAACTAGGTAATTACCAGGTAATTATATGTTGAAAGCTTGTGGACTTGTGGGGCTTCTGAGTTTTCAGTCCACGGTAGGCACACGACGTCATTGCGTTAATGTGGAGTTGTTCGCCGGATTGGAACCTGTCCTCCAAAACTTAAATACTGGAGCCAAAGATGCGGAGTCGACGAGAATGAGCCGTCACACTGAGAAGGGTTCTCCCGCCACCTGCTTTCAATGTCCCCTTCTCGGATCCTGCGGCCCGCACTGGCACTGGCCGTGTACCCCAGCACAACGATCACGATCGCGTTGCGAAGCACCAAGCCACCAAGCTGCTTGCTCATGGGCAGCCCCACATATGCCATCATGAAGGCGCGAAAAGCAGCCCGGTCAGTGAGGAAAGATTCCGACTTCTGCAGTAGGAAGGGGCGCTCCCCGCCCTCCAGGTCGCGGAATTCCGGGTGAGGGCTACATGCGGTGAGGACCTAGATACTGCCAACGAGAGCTAGAGCATGTCAATGTCCCACCAGGTCAGTCTGCGAAGGCCCATGGAAGCGGGAGGAGCATGATTCCATATTGCGGCTCTGTCTGTGATTTTTACGCAGATTCACACATGCAAGCTAAGACAGAGTTGTCCACATGGTGTGAATCGGAGGTTCCATCTCTACCCCGGAATTGGCCTGGGGCCCTAGGCGTTTCCCTAGGTCGCTTGCTTGCCTTTGGCAGGCAACTACTGTTAGTTTAAACTGCCTCCTCCGCTATGGAGAGCAGAGGCTTCTAAGAGAGACCATTTTTCAAAGCCCATGGGAGGAAAATGAGGGCTTCTTGTCAATGCTTCCCGGCTCAGTCGGAGAGGCAGTAGACCTGGCAGAAAGGGACCAAAAAAGGGGGGGGCCTCCGAGGTCGAGATTCGAAGGTTTCCGTTGCCTGCACGATCCCGACGATTGCCCCAAGGATTCCCCCGAGAAGGATCAGGATCCACTCCTCGGCGAGGCCAAAAATTGGCAAAAATCAGAACTTGACACTCTTCTGAAGGCCCCGGCATCCTCCTGAAAGACGGGGTGGAGCAGATTTTCGAACTCGTCGGCCGGCCTGCTGACGTCTCGAGGCTCCGCGAGGCGTGGCACGGCGCGGGGGCCCCCACATGCGCTGGAGACACTCTCTGTTTCGAGCTTCGATGTCCGTCACCTTCGAGATGTACTGGGCGGACACCTCCCACCATCCGACATGCGGCGATGGGCCGACAAAGAGAGAGAGAGAGAGAGAGTGTGTGTGTGTGTGAGTGTGTGTGTGTGTGAGAGTGAGTGGGTGAGTGGGTGAGTGAACCTTTGCGTTCGAGCTCCCACGTTCTACTGTCTTCAGACCAAGCTTCCGAGCGCTGTTGTTTTATCCCTCTCGGGTCTCCAGGGATCTTCTGACATCGACTGTTGTTACGAGGCTGATGGAGAAGGTGCTCTCTGCATCAAGCACGCTGCGAGAGATCGGAAGAGATCAGGGGTATGTCACAGAACGAGAAGGGGCAAAATGCAAGACTTGAGCTGATAGCTGTAGCTAGGCCTTTCAACTCTGTGTGGTAAGTAGAAAGAGGGATTCTGCTGGGATGGCTGGAGACAGCGGGATGCTCCAGTGGATGCCGGACCATCAAGGATCCGAAATCAAGGCATCATGTTGTCCCGACACGAAACTACAGCTACAGATGCAGCGACATGAAAGCTTTCCCTTGCCCAGGAAGCGAACTAGGCCACTGCAAAACCAATTTGGCCGGGATCTTCCCGGAAGCAAGGCCACTGCAAGCAACCCATTTGGCCGGCTTCAGACGGCAAAGGGGGGGGGGCCTTGTGAAGACGATGTGCGCGGTAGAGGCCGTCGACCATGGCGACCTCTCCGCCAATGGCGACTGCCCAACTTTGCTCTCTCCCCCCCCCAAAAAAAAAACCGTGCAGCGTCCGGCCTTGAGGTCCCTTTCCAAGTCCCTGTACCTTTTGAGAACACCTAGAGAACTCTTGCTTAGAGCTTAAGGAGTATCTCAGACTTAGAGACCTCTTGCTTAGAGCTTTGGGAGTATCAATCTTGGGCCGGCGCCCCTCTTTGCCGATGGTCCACTGCGCGAACCAAGTGGCTGAGCCTGCAGCAGGGTTCCCTTGGGATGCGCGGAGAGCATCTTCTCTCTTTTCTAGCACCGAGAGGAAGAAGGGCGAAGAGAGACGCCTTGCTTGGGAGATGATCATCATGACGATGATGAGGGGGAGGCGGCGGAGGCGAAGGAGGAGGAGGAGTGGGGCGGAGATGGTGATGACGACGATGATGATAGGGTGATGGCGCTGGTGACGAGTATGTCGGCGGCCAAGGATCCTGCTGGGGATCACTACTATTCGCATTGCTGTTGCTGCTCCTCGCTGCTGCTGTGGCCGCTAAAGCAGTCAATCTCGTCTTCGTTGCGATGATGGTTACACGCAGCTGTTGTCGTTCTAGTCGTCGTCGTTGCTGTTCTCAGCATGAGCGTCCTTGTGAAGGAAACTCTAAAGTACCTGAATCTGTAAACCTTCAAGGTTGCAGGGGTTTTCTCGGTGGCGCGGGGCCTGCCTAGGGTCTCCCGGAGCACGGCCGTGGAGTGTGCCACGTACGCCGCCTTGAGCTTCTCCCAAAGCCTTGAGTTTGGGTGCTTGTTGCTGAGCAAGTTCCCTAAACCCTAAACCCTAAACCACTACGAAACCTTAAATTGCATTGCTGGACTTTGAACGGCTCTCTGCACAACACCCCGAGAAGTCTTCAGATCTCAGGACGGCACTCGGGGAGCGTCTGCAGATAGCCTCGGACGGGCGGGTGGTGGAGCCGCCTTCTGGGGCCTCTCTACTTGACGGCCAAGCTGCCGATGATCTTGTTGAAGGAGAGGAAGTTCTCCTGAACATGCACAAAGATGGGGGAATATATGCGGGTATCTAGGGTAGCACAAAGCCCTTCTCGCAAGGCAGCGCCTTCAACATCTTGGCGTAGAGCACGCAGACCTCCTGAGGGCTTGGGAGAACAGCTGGGGCGGCCCTCGAGCCCTCCCCGAGGATGAGGCAGGCTGTCGCTTCAGGAAGAGACCCTGAGATCTCAGATCACCCGAGCGGGGCTCTCCCAATCGCTCCAATCTGATGCCAGAGGCCTGGATGTTGCAGATGTGCCAGCCACAGATCCTGCGAGCTCCAACCGATCCAATACTTCCCCCCCATTCCCCCTCTTCTTCAGCAAGATCTCCCACGTCTCATGCCCAAAAAGGTCCGGATGGGCGTCGGGAAGCAGGGCTTGAAGACCATGAGGATGGCCAGCCTGGAGATCCGCAGAGATCCGTCGCTTTGTCCACTTCACAAGGAGAGCCTCTCAGGTACCCCGGCCAGTTCGTCACGATGCCCAGGAGGAAGCCTCCAAAGCTGTCTGAGAGCGTCAGGCCCCTTGTGGCCCAAGTTCCGTGCTAATCTTTAAAACGTGAGGAACTTCATCACAGCGCATCATGAAACATACGCAGTACATTTTGGAGCAGGTCTGCAAAGAAGTCCTATACTAGCACTCTCCTGAACCGTTCAGAAGCACTGGGTTACAAACCAGTATCCTTCAAAAATTATTGCAGTTGCTCGCCAATATATCGCACGCAAGACCTGTGGCTGGGAGGAAGATGGCGCGGCCCTCGTCAGAAAGATGGTTGAAGGCTATGAGCTGCAGGAGGCCACCTGGAGATCCATTCGAGTGCCATTTAGCTCTGGACGATGCAGGTGCTGCATCAGCTACTGGTACTAACCAAATGCGGTCGTAAGCGTAAACTCATAACTACCTGCACCTGTAGCATTGGCGACAGTATGATGCTTACGCTGCTGTTCATGGCCAACAACGATGATGACGCTGTTGCTGCTGCTGCTCATGCCGCTGACGATGATGATGATGATGATGATGATGCAGATTCCTGTGAGAAGCGCTGATAACGGTGCTACTGCCCGGTTCTGGCAGAGCTTGCAGTCATGATGGAATATGATGATGAGGAGCAAGGGGGTAGGGATGGTCATGACGATGGTGATGATGGGGATGATGATGATGATGATATGATGATGATGATGATGGTAATGATGACGGTACTAATGACGATGCCACTGATTAGGACGATCCCGGGCTTGACCATGACACGCATGATGATTAGAGCCATCGGACCATGATAGCATCGAGTAGGAACAATACCAAGCTCATGACGACGACCACGATCATGTGATATTAAAGGCTGCAGGCAGTTCTTGGCGAGTTGCACAGGAAACCCATCATGGCGCCGCAGTGCTCGATGAAGCGGAACTCCTGGAGAACAACAGAAACACAGCCGTTCTCTGCCTTTTCCCCGTAGGCGGTGCTCGTTTTGCAGCACAGCACCCCTCGCCTGATCACCCAGGCGGAGAAAGAACTCGTTCAAGAGAGGCTTGTTCTCAGTGAAAACCTTCACGATCAGGCCGTCATTATCCTCAGATTTGCTCAGATGCGCTTGCTGGCACATGGTGGTCAGGAGGTCAAGTTCTCACTACCCTTGCCTGCAACTCCGAGTTGCAATGCCGATCTGCTCGTTGCAGAGGAGCTCTGTAATGGTGGTCCAAAGTTGCGGAGAAGTCTCCTGAATCCTGCGGGCAGCAACGCCGATGAATCCCAGCAATCACCGGTGCGGTAGGGGTTTTGGGAAGCTCATAACCTTTATGCCCGGCCTGTCCAGTGCCTGATCTGTCAGGCGGCTGCGCATGGATTGGGGCATCCGGTTGTCGGTGCGCGGGAGATACTTCTTCATCGCACTGCTCACCGCATCGTCGATCACCGTCCGCAGTTCGCCGCGGACCTCCCAATAGAAGCCACCGAAAAAGCCGAAAGCTCTCTCTCCACTACCCCTAAGGCCCTAAACCCTAAACCCCTAAGGCCCTAAACCCCTAAACCCCTAAACCCCTAAACCTCTCTCCACTACACAAGTGTTTGGCTAGGCAGAGCCCTGCCTCCTCGACGAGGCGCTTGGAGTCCACGCGGCCCAGCCAGTCCCTCGGACCCTCTAAGTAGGGCCGCGCACACTTGTAGGACATCCTCCCGGAGATCAGAGAGAGATCAGACTCTGAGAACAGACACACCAAAAAAAAAAAGGCTGACAATAAGAGGCCTGGGTATGGGTCTATTGTGGACTTAGAGAAAAATAAGGCTGAAGATATAGGCCTGGGCATGGGTATTGTGGTGGACTTAAAGGTCAGAGTTCTTCGCGTCCTGGCCTGGCCATTTTGTCGCACTTCCGCGGGACGAGGCCCTGCCACCCAACGCCCATCCCTGTCGCTCCGTACTGCCAGAGGCCTCGGGATCTTCAAGACTCCACAAGGAGGGCATGTATATGTATATAATATATATATATATCATATATCTATCTATCTGTCTGTCTGTCTGTCTGTCTGTCTATCTATAACACCTGCTGCTCGTATAGCTCTCTGTGGCCAGCGCCTACGAAGTTCAGCGGCAGAAACATCCTGGGCTAGGGATGGGCCCCAAAGACGCACGGGACTCGGGACCGATTATTCTGGCTCGACGGGTCAGGGAAACTCTCTCGCGCCAGGTCGCATCTGAATGGCCAGCCAAATGTGAAACCAAGTGAACCTCAAAGCTCGGGCTGGGTCTCTCAGGCGCGGACTTGCCGGCTTTCTCATGTGCACAGATCTGCCAAGGCGCAGGAGTGCCACGATAGGGATGGAGGCCAACAGCACGTATCGCCTGACGGCATTAAAACGGGCGGCGAGACTCCGCTTCCTTCCGCCTCTGCCTTTCCTTGCCTGGCAGTGGCCTGCTCTGTCGGAGAAAGCTCGGTGTAGACCGTGAAGACGAGCATCGCGGCCATGACCAAGGCGAGGACCTCCACAACATGGGAGCCCCCCAACGCGCGGCCTGGGCTCGCATGTTCGGCTGAAGCACAGCAAGTAGCACCACCAGCTTGTGCAGAAACCTCGGATTCAGCATATAAGGAGAGAAGATCAAGAGGCCCACTACAAGCCAGCCCTATAGTGAACACTAATACGTAGAGGAAAAGAAGCCCTTCGACATCGGACGAGGGGCCCCACACTGCGCTTGACGTTTGCCAAGTCCTGCACGAGCTGCTGCGACTCCGTCATGGCCTCCTCCTCACCTGCCAACGAAGCAGATGGGGGCAGGAGTAGCGCAACGGGGAGAGTGGAGGTGCTGATCATGATGCTGGCCCCATCGTCTTCATCGTCATCAACAGCATCGCCACCGTGGTCCTCATTCTCATCCGCACCATCATCACTGTCTAGGAGTCTAGCATAGGCATAGCCAGGAGAGTCAGCATAATCCGAATCGAACCCTGATGCACGTCACTTTCAATGTCACCTTGTGTCTGCTTCCGAGTGCATCTTCGAACCGGCCTTCGTCCTCCAGGGCCGCGTACGGCACCTCCCAGAGGAAACTCACTGTCGCGAAATGAGAAGCGCGAGATACGAAGAGAGAGAGAGAGAGAGAGAGAGAGAGAGAGGGAGAGGCAGCACAGCCCTTCACTACAAGAAGATGAAAGAGAGAACATGCTGCTCACGAATCCCCTCTTCCGCTTGCACCTCGGACTCCTCCAGCGACACCTTGGGCGCGCTGTCGACGTTGGCGGCGTAAGGCACGAGGTCCCCAGGATTCAGCAGCTCCTTGCTCGGCACCGCGCTCTCTCTTTAGGGTTAGGGTTTAGTGCTTAGGGTCTCTCTCTCTCTCTCTCTCTTTCTCTCTCTCTCTTGCCGATGGAAACCCGTCGAGGGCCTCTCCAAAGGATGGCTGCTGAATGCGGCAGGCCTGAGCTCAGGGTTTGAATTGGCATTCATGTCCGCGTCCTGCTCCCTTTCCCGGGGCTGGCGCTTGTCCACAGTAGACGGCCGCCTTCGGATCCGCCTGAAGACAGCCGAGGCTGCCACGGCTCAACAAGGGCGCCCTCATCACATGACATGAGTTCATGGGCTTTCTCCATTGTCATCTATGGCAATGCGCGAAAAAACCTCCTGATCAGTAGACGGAGCAGCAGTACTGGCTTCCTGTCTTCACAGACTTCCTCTTTTATGATTATCAATTATATCTACTATTATGATTAAGATTGTTAGTATTATTGGTATTAATATTGCTATTATTATCATCACTGTTACCCGTCGTTGTTGTTGTTGCTGTTGTTGTTGTCGTTGTCGTTGTCGTCGTCGTCGTCGTCGTCGTCGTCGTCGTCGTCGTCGTCGTCGTCGTCATGGTTGTTGTTGCTGTTGCTGTTGCTGTTGTCGTTGTTACTTATCACTTACTCAACTAGCTTCCTCCTTCCCCTGCACCAGACCCTCGGCCTGGACATCCTGGGCCGTCGCAGCGGAGGGCGGCGCGTAGCTCCCCAGGTCCGGGACGGGCTCCAGGGCTTCCAAGTCCAACTCCTCCACGGAGCCTGTCCTTCGAAACCCTAGGTTTGGGTTTAGGGTTTTGGGGTTTTTGGGTTTAGGGTTTAGGGTTTAGAGGGGGTTTCGGGCTTTAAGTCTAGGGGGTGTAGGGTGCAGAAAGGTACCTGAAAGGCACCTCACCTCCCAGACACGCCTTCAGATGGAATTTTGATCTCCAGATTCAAGAGCCTGATCAACCCCGAACCCAAGGACAAGTATCCCCCAAGCTTGAAAAGCGCCCTGTTACCGTTCGTTTAGTCCCCGTTGATCCATCCACCCGGCCTCGGTGCCCTGCCGCAGCCCACGGCTTGTGGCCGACAGCGGAGGCTCGCGAAATGCATGATTCCAATGCCAGTAGCTGTTCTGAGTTTTCTGGGGATGCTTCGCACTATGCTTGACACCGGCTCCCCGTACTGGGAAGTGTGTCGATCCTCTGAGTCACATCGAGCTCGAATCTGCTTTTAAAGCCTTACGCTCGACGGGCTCAGGGGGGGCACAGACTCACGAGGAGAGTGTTAAGCGTGGATGGACAAGAATGCTGGCAGCGAGGATAATGACGGTGATCACGCCTGCTTACTCAGAACCTGGAAATATACAGCCCAAGCTGCGGCTGGTATGGCCATTCGGCATCACGCAAAGCATGAAAGACATCATCCGAAACTTTGGCAGGATACGGAAAACCACAGAACAATCACAGGTGGCAGTCAAGGTCGTTTTGGGACTCTCTTTGTTCCACTCTGTAGCGTGCCACTACTGCAAGAAACGGGTGTTCTTGACTAGATCCGAGAAAGAATCAATCGCTCAGATCATGTTTGGAAGTGAACGATCATCTCCGGATATGCTTGTGCTCCGTTAAAGATTATATACTCTTGATGGACTTGCGTCGAACCAAGGTTGATAGGTGTGCCTGGTGCCGCTACGACGGAGTGCACTCGTCCCTTGGATGGGTCCAAAGGGTCAATGAGTGGTTCTACCTTGATCCCCTGCAAGGAGCCTCGGGCGAAGTCGGGGAGGCCGAGCAGGAGGCGGGTGATGATCATGCACCCGTGACATGCGCCATCTGCCCCGGAGTACTGGAATGCTTTGCAACTCTGATCCGTGAAGTAGATACCTTGTCCGTAGAGCCCTTTGGGCCGGGCTAACCTCTCATCGAATCCGAAGTTGGCAATGAGGTCGATGTTGTCCGGGGAGGTGCCGTGGAGCACCATGATTTCGTTGACGGCAGGATCCAGGTCCGCCCAATTGCAGGCAGAAAAGCCGCTTTTCACCGGTGTCAGCCAAGTTCCCTCCAACTCCTTCCGAATCTGGTCTTTCCGGAACTCGTAGTTCTTCCAAAGCCGCAGATTTCGAATCTGCTCCAGTCCGGTGACCCTCAGGTGACGGATGGGCTCACAAACGCCATAATGATCGCTGGGGCAAGCCGAACGAAGCGCTGCTTCTAAGACCGAGAAGAGCCCGTCTCCGACTGGAAGCTGCAATCTGATGCTCATGTCCAGTTGGCGACTTTTGCGCCAGGGCTCCTGAAGCATCATCTGACTGCTATGCTCCGCCTGGAAAGATTTCAACCTTTCCAGCTCCTTCTCCAACTCTGCCACCCTCAAGGCCAACTTTGCACTCTCAGCAGAATGAGTCTCAACATCACATTGGAGCCTCTTCTGCCTTCCGAGCAGTTTTGGCAGAATTGCGGTGGTCGCTTTGTGCTGCCTCCTGATGGGTCGCCGGCGCTGTGTGCTGAGGTTCCATTGCACCATGCCAGCGCAGTCGATTCCGTAGGCCAACTCCTTCGTCTTGATGTGGAAAGTGCCCGTCCAGCCACCGGCCCAGTGCTCCTCGAGGATCCTCTGCATTTCTTTTCCCATGGGCTGCCAATCTTCGGGACGACCATCGCCGCTGGCCAGGAACTCCCAGACCACCTCAAAGGAGTCTTGCTCCTTGCCGGGCACGAGCCGTGCCGGAATGCTCAAGTCGAGGATCTTCAGCTCTGGGTCAATATCTTCACCGACCTTCTTCCACTCAGTCAGGGGGAGGGCCATGTCAGTCGTGCTCGAACAGTAAGCCCACCTCTCGCTCAAAGAAGGCCCAAAGTACCAGGCAGGGAACACACCGTCATCCCAAAAGAAGATGACGGCAGGGTCCTCATCAGGGCCCTCGATCTTGCGGTAAACGGGCCTTCCATGGTTCCACTCTGATGTGGCATAGGTGCCCTGTATTCGTTGACTCAGATCAGGGTCGCTGCATCCAGGAACATAAACTGCAGATAAATGGACATCTGCAGCGCTCGTGGCATCTGCGCTGCCGGAGCCTACATTGCCGTGACGATGCCGTAGATGAGCTTCAAGGGATCTGTGATTGAAGAAGCCGCCACACTTGCACTGGAAGGGGTTGCCTCTGTGCTTCCAGTGGTCCAGGTACTTGACGGAGTGGCTGTTGGCCAACTCTTCGCACGCGCTGCTCAGCCCATACTTGCATCCCGGCTTCACGTGACGTGCCCAGGACCGCCAGCATCTCTCGCAGTAAACCCTGATGGCCTCCGTCTGCTCCCAGACAGAGCTTGCCAAGTTAATCCAGGACTTTGAAGCCTCGTCGTACTGGACGTTCGCATCCCTCACCCACAGCCACGCACCAGCTTCGCGACCTTCCCATATTCCTGCACAGCCAGTCTTCACATCGGTGGTACATCTGCAACACCGAGGATAGGATGCCATGGCCACAGTATGGCTGGAATGCGACCTTGCAGACTGCACGAGCTACGACGTCCCGAAACTGCTGGTACTGTAATGAGTTCAGCTGCAAAAAGAAGTGCGTTCGGAGCCGCTTGAGCCTCCGCAGGGCATCTCTCGCGCTGCAGATGCTCCGGTAACAACACAACCCTCTCTTCAGAGGTTTGGATTCGAGCCTCTTTTTTTGCCTCTCCGGTCGCGGCTCACCTGTCGCAGTCGCTTTTCGCTTTGAGGGGCCGGGCCCCAAGCTGCTCAGAGAAGGCTCAGCTGCCGCCGCGGCTTCTCGTTCTCGCGCCTCTCGCTTCGGGGAAGCACCTGAGAGCAAATTCTATGCAATCGATAAAACCTCTAGAAGGAATCTCACAAAAAAAAGTGTAAGAACACCTGTCTTCTGCCTCGCGGAGCATGCGGCTTGCAGCCTTTTCTTCGGAAGAAGACCGTGCTGAAGGCCAAGCCATACCGGGCCTATCGACTACAGAAGCCTTCAAAATATGCGATTTTGAACTCGGTCAAATTTCCTGTCAAGCACTCTGTGGCTTCTTGTCCAAATTCATTCTGCAAGAGCCGGGAATATTGGCCTCCGCTTACTGAGGCATTGTTCCCAGCCTCCAACATCACCGCAAAGCGCTTCGTGTCCCATTCTTCACAAACGGCTGCCTCTGCTTTCCCCCCGTTCCGGAGCATCTGAACGAAAAGCACCATAGCAGACTCATCCCAGTAGCGGAGATCGTCGGGATCCTCACCATCTGCCGTGGGCAGAGTGGTCACCATTTTGGTCAACACGTCAGCCCTGTCGCTGTCACATGATGATGGGATGAAGTCGGTGTCATTGAGGTAGAACTGCATGCCTTCTGTGTAGGTGGACGTGGCCAACACTATGGAGACCCCGACGGAAAGAACGGAGTTGGCTGCAACTGGGTCACTGAAGATGTTCCATTCCGTATCTGGTGGATTTCCTGTGAAGGAGGTGTCTGGAGCGGAGTAAGGCCAGACTTTGTCAGTTGGGTCGCTATCTCTTGAAACCACTGTACCGCCTGAGTTGTAGATCCGCTTCACCTTCAACTCGAAGAGTTTCGGGGACTCCTGCAGGAAATGAGCCAGATTGGTCAAGGGTCCCAGTGCGAGGATGTCCACCGGCTTGCGACTCTTCGAGAGGGTTTGCTTGAGCAGCTGGCCAGTGTACATCCAACTCGGCGGCCTGATATTGAAGGGCAGGCCCACGAACTCGCTGAGGAAGTTACCTTTGCCCTCCAGGAGAGTGGGATCCGGCAATCCATTTGGTTCGTTGAGATTCAGCTGTGTGTCCGGATTGTAGAGGGGTGAAAATGCCACGGGAATATCTGGCTGTCCGAAGTATTTGGTCAGCCGCATGATGCTCATCACACCTGCCCATTGCTGTGACCAGCCGTTACAACCGACAGTGATGGCGAGCACTCTGAAATCTGGCTGAGCCAGTAGGTAAGCAATGGCCATTTGGTCGTCCGTGTCAACATCGGTGTCGACGATGACGGGCGTCCGACCATCGTCGGAGTCGATCGTCGGAGCCCCGTAGCCGTGCTTGAGCCGCTTCTTCAACCGCTTGAACCACCCTTCGGCCCCATGCCCGTCCACGGAGCTCATAGCGGCCATGTCGCCTTCCATCTGAGCTTCCATAGCTTCCATGTGCGCCTCCATAGCTGCCATTCGAGCTTCCATGGCATCCATGTCCACGGCATGGTCCGCCTGAGCCACTGTATCATGGAAACGTTGCAGTAGCGTTACCGCATCGGAGTCCTTTATCTCCTTTTGCTTTGCCGCGATGGCAAGGACAAGAAGGGCCCCGGCACGAAAAATCGAAGTGAGCATCGTCTTGTGCGGAAGCTCAAGAATTAAAACGTAAGGTCCCAACACTCTTGACTGAGCCCAATGCTATCAATATTTCCAAGGCAGTTCGGCCATGCCCTTGGTATATCCACACATGGTCCACTTAATTTAGTGGTTCGGTGCTCATGGGGTGTCGTGCCCACCTATCTTGCCTGGCGTTATTCTCTAGGGCGTCCGCCACTCGCGCCACTCTGATCTGCACCTCTGGCGCTGCTTTCACGAGCCTTGGAAGGCAGAAGGAGCGAGGAGCACAAGCGCTTCTCTTCCTCCCTGACGGCCCTGTGACGTCCGTCCGGGAGTCCGGCATTGGGGATCGGATCCCTGCGCAGAGTTGTCACAATTTACGATTCTACGATGCACTGCCAGCAACATCAAGTGATCCTGCCAGAAGAGCAAGAAGGAGAATGAGAAGGATGGAAGGAAAGACAACAAAAACGGAAGAGCTCACCAGCGGCTGCTGAGTTCAAGGGCGAAGGTTCTGGATCTGGCAGGGTGCCATTACAACGAAGGCAACACGTCTATTTTGAGTTTACAAAGACATTGAGCAGTCGAAGTCGCTGTCGCCGTCGTCGTGGTGGCAGTAGTGGTAGTGGCAGTGACCATGACAGAAGTACTATAGTATTGCCAGAACGTCGGATAGGAGCGACTCCAGCAGAGACCTTCTTGATGGGTATCAATGGCTTTGAACGCTGCCTTCGTACCCGGTTCCTCTGGCTGCGAGTTTTGCCTTCCAATCTTGGATGTTGTCCCTGGACAAGCCGAGTGAGTTAGTTAGTTCCGCTAAACGAAGAGTTTTTGGAACAGAATCACTGGTCACTTTTGCAGCGCAGCCTGGCTCTTTGCCGCACAACATAGGACACCATTGGTTTGTCCAACATTGGCACTGCATACTTCGCTGTGCAACTCCACGTGCCAAGCGACAGAACGATGCATAGCAACTGTCTCTCGAAGAACGGTCCTCTTGGCTTCGCCGCCGATGCACTCGCGAAGCAATGGAACCTTCCCGGCTCTCAAAACTTGTGGGGAAGTTGGATCTTCCTTTGAGCTTGAGGTGGCCTACTTCTGCAATGCTCTCTGGCTTAGCTGTTCTCCAAGTGAGTCATGAAGTAAGGAGCACTCCCCATCCTATCTCCCAAGGTCTAAATCTAAACCCCTAAACCCCTAAACCCTAAACCCACTAAACAAGGGGATCCTCATCTGCACCCCGACAGCAGAAGACTCCCCAAAAAATGGGACGAAAAGACTCGCGAAGGCCTTGGAGAGTGAGAGCCTCCAGGCTGCCCACCACACGAAGCCTCACAGAGTAGGGAGGCTCCATCATGACCCTGAGAAACCCGGCACAAGCAGAGCACTACTACCCTAAACCCTAACCCCATAATGTAAAGCGAATCATACTAGTACTTGTAAGATTTGTGTTGGTGTCTCTTTGTGTTGTCCATGGAGCCCCATCACAGTCGTCGCCGCAGTACGGCTGGACCCATCGCGTGCTAAACATCCGAGCACAATCAATAGCACATTCCAGGAGTCTCGGCCGCCGATTCTCGGCTGCAACACTCCCATCTGCCAGGTACTTGAATTTAGGGCTTATAGGCTATATAGGGTTTAGGGTTTGGGGTCCATGAAGGTATGCATTGCTGCAGGTCAGGAAAACCCTGAAAGATCGGATTTCGCGGCCTAGGAAGGCCAAGAAGATAGCATAGGCGCCGCCGATGACGCAAACCTGCGCCGTGGCCGGGATGGATATCCGGAGTGCCAGAAGCCATGTAGGGGACCTCGGCCCTGAAGTCCCGAAGACCATCGAAAGCCGGAGACCCTAGACTCTAGACTTGGGACGTCGGACGGCTGGCAACCATTGGAAACTGTTAGTTCAGTGTCGTTTGATTTTAAAGTGATTTCAACTTAAGTGACTTGCGAAGTGATTTCAAAACCCGGGTCCCGGAAAGCTGATCTCAAGTGTCCTGAAGTAATGGGAGACGGAAAAAGTGAAAGCTGGCCGGGCGAAAAGTCAAACCAAAGTGACCGGACAACACAGTGAAACACAAGTGATGTCAAGGCGATTTGAGGCTTGCAAAAGTGCTTTTCAAAGTGATTTGGGGTGTCAAAACCGATCTCCAACGTGGTTGGGGTGGTGAACACTACCTGTCCAAAGGCTTTCCTTCTCGAGGGTTCACCAGCATCACTATCGTCCATAGAGTCACTGAAGCAAGTCGTCATGAATCCTAGAAAGGTATGCAAATCCTCGGAGATCCAATATGCAACTCCGTACTGACACAGTAATCACCTTGAAATCGCTCTTGCAAGCCTTAAATCACTTTGAAATCACTTTTGGAGCTCCCAAATCACTGTAGAATCACTTTTTGGGGCCTTGGAAATCGCTTTTTTAAGCCCTGACTCAGTGAGATCACTTGTCGGGTCCTGGATCGCAGGTAAGACTGGAAAAACTGATTTTGGGCGATTGGAGACCCCAAAAATACTTCTCAAAGTGACCTGGGTCCCGAGAAGGGGATTTCTCACTGATCTTAGACCCCCAAATGTGATTTCAAAGTAATTTGAGGCTTGCAAAAGTGGTTTCAAAGTAATTTGAGGGTGTCAAAGGCGATTTCAACAGCAATTGGGGCGGTGAACACTAAGTTTACCCCTTCTCAAGGATTCACCAGAGTCACTATAGTCAACAGAGTCACTGGAGCAAGCCTTAATGAACGCTTGAAAGGTATGCAAATCTTAGGACATCCAATGCGTGACCCCAGAATCACTTTGAAAACACGTTTTCAAGCCTTAAATCACTTTGAAACCGCTTTTCTGCAATTCATTTTTCAAACCACTTCTGCGAGTATCGCTTTTTCGAGCAGCCATTTCACTCTTGCGAAGGTCCCACATCACTTTTCAAGTCACTTTTCCCCGGTGCACGAAACATCCAGTTCACTTGTTCAGATCAGCTTAGAATCACTTAACTTTTCACTTAAATAAGCGTTCCAAACCATCCCAACGCTTTCCGACCACGACGTGCCAACTCTAGACCCTAAACTTTGACTCCTTGAGGCCTACAAGCCCCTGGGCCAAGGCGGCGCCTGACGCAGCAGACCGCCCGAGACCATGGAGCTCACGAGGCTTCGCGAAAACGGGCGCGTTGGCTCTCGGGACTCTTCTGGGCTTTCTTTGTGGAGGAGGGGGGATTGGGGGGGGGATAAAAAGGAAGCGCTTTCTTGCGGGCTGACACAGGGTTTTCAAGTATCAGCGAAGGAGGCTTCGGGTTGTGGTGGGGCAAGATGTCTACTTACTAAACATTGTGTGTGTGTGTATATATATACATATATATATATATATCTACATACCTATGTATATACATGGCAACGGGTGCCCTGTTCGCAGAGCCAGCGAGTTCGAACTGAACCCCTCAACCCTAAACTACCCTCAACCCCATCAAATAAAGAAAGAAAGAAGGAGGCTCTCCCCTGGCCCCTGCTTCCTCTTTCTCGTTCTCTTCGCAACCATCTCAGAGTTCTGAGAGCAGAGAGGGAGATGATGGGAGACGTGCGTCACTCTGCTGTGTGGTCACGCTCTGCTGGGGATGACAGCTTCAAGGGAATTCCTCAGCTCGGATGTACAGATAATATGTATTTGGATGCCTTCCGAGGGCTGCAATCCCCAGGTAGCCGCCGTGACGTGGCGTCCGACACTCATGGACAGCAGAGACTTGCCCATGATTGCACTCAGACTCAACACGTGGTCTGCAGCCGTCTAAGAATCTACATCTGCATTTGCTCGGCCAGAGCCCACTGCGTAGCCACATCCGGCTACGTCTGGCGCCCAAACTAGGGAAAACCACGGAAGCGTCCAGCACGCCTAAAGTATCACAAAGGCTCCCGGTTAGAAGACTTCTTCCAAACCAATTAAGCAGCTTCGTGCAGTTTAATGGCAGCAAGCTACTTTTTGGTAGAGTCTGCCGTGCTCCCTCCACCATTGCAGGTGCACCAATCTTCCGTGGACTCATGGAGCATCAGCTGAAGATGGAAGCATCAGGCCAGTAGAACTGCCTGTATCGCCTGAGGGGCGCGTGCAACCATGCAACAAGCCTCCTGTCAGCATACCCTAAACCCTAAACCCTAATGGCAATCCAGGAGCCCTCTCCGAACCCTCAACCGAAACTGCACGATTATGAACCAACATGCCCCAACTAAACCCATTTTAAGCCCCTAATAACATGTGCCAGCAGCTGAGCGCCCCACTTGCGGTAATGCTCGGCTGGAGCTCGGGGCACTGGCGCAGGCGGAAGATCAGCGCAGAGAGAGGTTGGGAGCTTCAGCAAACAAGGGACCTGGTATAGACTCTTATGACTCTTTAGGGTTTAGGGTTTAGGGTAAATATGTAGAAGACTCCCTGTTAAGGATTCTACACCCTGGGAACATCTCAAAGGCTCGGATTCCGCCCTTCCAGGTAAAATTAAATGGCTTAACCTGCAAGGCTCGGGGGGCGAAAGCAATGAGGATCCCCACATTAACCGACGGGGAAGAATCGCATCGCAGCCTTCAGCGGTCCCTCCCTTCTGCCTTGAGCCCGCGAGCAACCCAGCTCCCGGCAACGAGACTCCACCATGCGAGACCTTTCGATGCAGGAAGTGTGTACTATAATAATCGATTACAGTATATGATTTAAGTATGCTATAGTACGAGCGCCTCTGTTTTTGGTTTCGGGTCCTGAAGAAGTGAAGACCACACGTCTGGGGCTGAAGTCATTTAGTAACACCTCAGGGTCTTGCGTCACCAGAGGTCTAGGAGGCTTTGCTCGAGAACGCAGACTTAAGGGACTTAAGCCCAAGTCGTTGAACCCCTCCTCAGCACGCATCTTTTCAATGACACGAATGTGAAGATCCTGTTCATTGTTTTTGCGTCAGAAGGCCCTGGTCCAGGCTTTCCAGAAGATTCCAGAAGAAATCAACGACCCAAAAAATTCTGGGCGCCCCCCCCCCCCCAAGAGACCTTCAAACCGGACATTCCACCAGGCTCCAAACGTCACAGAGGCGGCAGCGGCAGCTGCGGCCACGGCCTGGCATGCGTGGCCACACGTATTTTGGGCCCGGAAAGATGGCGAATATGATAAAGGTGGGATCCCTGAGCTGAAGAGTTCGTCTATATTCTGGGGACAGGGCCCAAACTGCAGCATGGTTGTGAGTGAGGTTCTGTCATGCTGCCAAAGATACACTGAGCATGGAAGATATTAGGCTTCCTTGAGTTAGCAACCAGCATCTTTAGACATAACCGGCAAGTCAAACACAACCTGGCATCTCCCCGAAGAAGTGTAATCACTGCCAACGAACCCGGCAGGTTGCGGGTTCTTGACTCACTTTTGGACACTGCAGGCAAGGTGACGCCGGGTTCCACTATGAGGACTGCATCTCGATGTGCGCGAGCTCGTGCTGGGCATCACGAACCTTCTCCGCTGTCGCGTGGACCTTCGCCTGCACCTTCTGGGCCTCGGCATTGTAAGCGTCTCCGAGCTTCGCCAGCTTAGCCTGCGCTTCTTTGTTGCTTGCCAAGACTTCGCTTTGCATGCTCCGAGCTTTCGCCACATCTGCCCAAATCTTCTGCGAAGAATAAGCTCCTTCGGCTTTGAACACAAAGAGCCAAGCGGAATCCAGCTTGGTCTTGTCGCACCGCCATCGCTGAAGCCAGGCATCCTCCACGCGCTCGATGAGGACCCCTGCGAGGCACTTTTGCTGTTGGAACCAGTAGCCCTGCTTGTAGAAACCCCTGTCTTGCGTGGCGAAGGTTTTTGCCAGCTGTGCAGCAGCTTCGACCTGTCGAGAGTTAGCCAGCCATTGCTCTTGCGCCTTCACAGACATGTCCACTGGCGCAACCTTGCTACCGAGGTCCACTGCATCCCAAAGCTCCTTGGCGTTCTCCTCGCGCTCCTCTTGGCTTGGGGTCGCAGGGTGGTACAACACGAACTTGTAGATTTCCAGAATCTGCTCCGCCGTCCATGAGGTGCGGGGCACAATGCAGCAGGTCCAGCCGGTGCTGCGGTCCGTCGCAACCCGACCAGCCTGTCCGCCCACCAGAAGCTGAAGGACGAGGACGGCACGTGAGGCAACCAACATCTTCTACACGGACTATTGATCAGTCAAACTACAGAACTGCTCGTCTGTTCTTCCGAAACGGCTGCGGGATTCTGACCCCTCAGGCTTGCCAGGGCACCTACACGGCGGCAAAAGTTCCTACCCGCGTCTACACAAGGATGGAGGCCCTCCCACTCGTGGCCTTGAGTACCGCCTCCGCAGTGGGCGCAGCTGAGTCAGGGCTCTCCTTGAACTTGTTGGCCCCTCCTGGGAGGACGGAGTATAGTGATTGAAAAGCTCCACGAAGCTCTGGGGGACTGACGCCACAGTGGCCCACCATGTTCGTAGGCCGTCTCGGCTGCCTGGAGGATTCAACGTCTCAAAGGATGCTTCGAGGGGCCCCAACACATCTCCCACCTCGGCGGTCTCTTCCATCTCGTCCTCTCCCTCCTCGTGGGCATCATGCTCATGCTCCTGTCCAGCAGGGAAACGGTGCGGCGGCCGCGGTTGTCTCCCTCCCCCCCGCTGCTCGGGCACTCCTCGTGATCGTGCTCTTCATGCTCATGTGCCTCTCTTTACAAAGCACACATACTGTAACGCCATCTCAAGCTCGAGCCACACGGATGTTTTGTTCGTCCTCCTCGTGTTCCGCGTGGTCTTCGTGGTCTCCGTGATCGTGCTCATCGTACTCCGCCGGCTCGGAATGATCTCCGTGCGCCTCGGCGAAAAGCAGGAAAGCCACTGCGACTCTCCGGAAAAGGAGGAAGGGAGCCCCGCATGGTCGTGATGGCCTCGGCGACATCGAATGAGTCAGTGGTAGCAATTTCAGTAAATGGGCTTCTGGCCATGGTCTTCCAGATGTTCCTAAGCTGCGGAGCGCACTTGCCCCAATGAATTAGTCTCACGGTTCTCACTCTGGACACCGCTCTGAGGCCTCCACTGCATCGATCCCCTGTGCTGTTCCGTCGCTTTCAGGCGCAACCCTTCTAGGCCCCCACCCCCACTTCCCGAGCCTCCTCTCCGCCCGCATGTGCGAAGTGGGAAACCTCAACGAAACGGAAGCATCGGAGGATCCTGTCCCAGAACCCTCCGACAACAAGGTGCAATCCGGACTTGGGCACCAGCTGCCGCTGTGGCCGTGAGAACAGCCGTCTGGCCAAGTGGCCAAGCACCAGACGGCAAGACAATTGCGACGACTGCTCTAATAAAAACCACCAGGGACGACGGGAGGGACCTCCTTTGACCCTCCTACGCGCGAGAGGGCCTTCACGGCAGCGGCGCCCTTCCAAGCCCCGAGCCTGAGACGTCGCCAGAGCTCTTCAGCTTGTTTACGGTGCAGCTGGGCAGAATCCACTGAAGGTATCTACCAGACAGACTGGGCAGTTTCCTGAGGAGACCAAGACCAAGTCCGGGCCCTGTGCACTGGGGCGAAGAAGGCCGTAGTCACCATTTGCTTGCTCTCAGGGCAAAGACCGGAGGATGCCTCAGAGACCAGAACTGCCTTAGACGAAGTGGCGTTCCATGATCTATCCACACCCTAAATAGATTCTGTACAAGAGCATCCAGAAACATCCTTCGGTCCAGATTGGATGTCGCAGACCCGGGCAGCGAGGGAATACTCTGCAGCTGGGAGGCCCCTCGAGCATCCACCTGAAAGCGTGCGGCTTTTTCAGAGATGGCGCGAGCCGCAAGGCTGCGCTGCGCTGCTGCAGGGTGCCGGCCGTTCGGCGAGTCGGCGGCGTGCACGCAGCCGCCACCCTCCGGGCACCTTGGGTTATAAAAGCAGATTGGGCAAATCCGAGACTTGCAAAACTTGATGGACGACCGCGTCTTGATGCCCTGTCGCTGGGACTCCGGCACAAAGGCGCCCTGCTCTCTTAAGCGAGCACAGCAGGAGAGCCAGAGCGGCGGTCGGTGTGTGTTGGGGGCTCGGGAGGTAGCAACCATGTTCGCTTTTCAGTTGCAGTCTCCCTGGCAATGCGCAGCTGCAGAGCCGATGGGGCGCTGTTTTTGAAAAGCACGACGGTGAGGTGCTTCAGCACTTCAGCGGATGAAACACTCACGGGAGCTGCAGAGACACCGAGCGCTCCGTCCTGAGATCGCCCGACATCGCGGAATTTCAAAATAGTGATGGCCTACGAGCACTATAGAGCACTCTCAGGTGATCTGAGGCCATGGCCCTGCACTCTCGAGCTGATGGACATCGACGATGATGTCAAGCCCCTGCAAAAATCTCTGCGGCTGCGCAAAAAGTGCTTCCGCGCTCTCGACTCTACTTGCCCCCCCCCTTTCTTTTGGTTTCACCTCGTCTTTGGCCAGGGCTTTCAGGCGATCCGCAGCTTCTGTCTCCTGGCCAAAAGCTTCGACGACCCGGGCCTTTAGCGGCTTAGGCGCTATAGGGCTTTTCGGAAGTCGAAAAGCCTCTACGGACAGGTCCAATCGCAAGCGCTTGGAGGGCTTGGACGCCGGCCTGGCATCTCGCTCGAGCATGCCCGAGAACAAACAACCACTCCGACAGCGCGTATGAAAGAGAGAGAGGGAGGGAGGGAGGG